GAGGTTCTCGAAGTCCAATCCTCTCAAAGGGTATATAATCATGGAATATTTGGAAAACGCGAAATCATTGGAACTACAAAATGTTACGATAAATGCTGTAAAAGAGGTACTTCCCAACACATTTTAATTGCATTTCAAATCCATCTATCAAAATTATCAGGTGCTTCGCGCTTTGGCAGCGATGGAAGCAATGTCTCTGAAGTTTAACTCCGAAGAAAAGAATATGCTAACAAAAACTCCTTTCCGCAATCTGCATAAGCTGTTCTACGGAGATGATGTTAGTCAAGAAAACGTCCATTTCTATTTTTCTCACTAAAGCGTCTCTTCACTTCACTCTTTTTCTTTCAAATGATTTTTGAAATTCAATTTTTTCAAGTTCATAACTTCCATGAAAGATCTTCGAACATTTTGTGGAGGTAAACTCTCCGATAAAGTCGCTAAAATTGAAGAAGTCGTACAAGATATGGACCCTGATTGGATTGACCAGTTGGCTGATGAATTAGGTAGGTTTTTCGTAGATAAAATTCCAATTTGCTATAGGGTTCTTTGCTCAAATTCATTGATTTAGGCACCATTTGACTTTTTCAATTATCGGAAAGACAAATTTTTGAGTTTTATTAAAACTTCTTATTTTATAGATCTTATTTGAGGTTCAATTTCTCACTATGGTTTTAGGGGGCAAATGATCTTAAATTTGTGAATTCCAAAGTGTCGAAAACCGAATCACGGGACAAGAATATCTAGTCATCATCGTAGACAAGAGCTCACTCGTCTTCAAACAAAAAAGGGTTTCAAAATCACAAAATGAATGAGACTTTAGCAAGAAAAGATTTAGAAGCGGTTTGGATTTCCATCGGATATGAAGAAGAAATGAATGCTTAAAAACAAATGAACTCCTGCCTTTCGCCTCTCGTGATTAACCGCACTACAAATAGGGCGGACTACTTGAATGACACAGAGCTCCCAGCTCACCTGTTCGATTCACGTCTCCTGAAGTACAACCGACGCACGTCGGACTTCGCAGTTCATATATGAGTTCAATGTCTCGTCTCCGCGATCCAGCGGACAAAGCATCGATGGGCTGGTCATATAATGAGAAGGACAGACAACGAAACTAAGTACTCAGGAATGGATTCCTCGCGAAGCAAAACCTCCTCGAGGAAGGCCACCGACCAGATGGTGAAGTGTTCGTTGAACGGATGAACCAGCTAAATTCTCAGCAGGTAACGAGTAATGGACCTGGACCTCGCGAACGTCGCCACTGCACTTCAATACCAATATCGTGGATGACGCTAGCGAGAGATAGAAACGGATGGAAACAGTGCTGTGGCCTGCACGACAGTGAAGACAGGCCATCTAAGTAAGCTAAATAAGTGGCTTGAATGACACTTAGCGAGTCCGTTAAGACAGTAGAATAAGAAGTGGGTTGGTCCGATACTCAGCGGTCTTAATGCTTTGTACCTTGAACAACGTCTGGACTACGCTGTGCGAGAGGAGATTGATGGCATAATGTAGTAGATCTGAGATCCGTTTCAAGTCTTCAAGAAAGAGAAACGTTGGGCAATATACATTTCACCAAAAACCGGTCGGCAAAATACTTATGAAGAAAATGGATGCGTTTTTGTAATTTCTCAACATTCAGGAATGCAGCGTGTTCTTTGTCACGGTGATCTGTGGTCAGGAAATATGCTTTGGAAGGAAAACGACAACGGAGAATCAAACCTAGCTGCCGTTATAGACTTTCAGGTTCCTGCTCTTCCACCTTTAGAAAATTCTCCAATACAAGATTAGCACAGTTCGTAACTTAGGACCTCTAAATTTGTTCACTAACATCCTAGAAATAGTAGATTTAGAATCAATTAAGGTTGCGCATATGGGCTGCCCTGCCGCCGACGTAGCAATGCTATTTCTCCTATGTCTAAGCGGTACGGATAGACAAGAGCATTGGGAAGAACTCCTTGTGTACCTTTACAATAATTTAAAAAATGAAGTTGAGGAGATGAAGATGCCTTATACACTTGAACAGGTAATATGTATGTCCCTAATAGCAGATTATTTGCAACCAGTTTCTTTAGCTCAAAGAATCGTACCGTCAATTTTTGCCTTTTGGCGGGGCATCAATCCTTCCTTTTATTCCTACCATATTTGATAAAATGTGCAGAGATGCGACCGAGGAGCAAAAGAAAGAAGTGAGATGGTTTTGCTATGCATTTTGAATTTGACAAAATAGAAAGATTAATTTCAGAATTTAGACGTTATATTGGAAAAGCTGAGCTGCCTCTTAGATGACATTATATTTTATCACAACCGCAACTTGTCACTGAAAATGTTAGAGTGACTTTGAATGGATTTTATCAGCTGTGGCCGATAAAGGTTCTGCATGAATTGATGAGTATTTGAAAGATCTGTCATTCCTAATTTACACTCTGGGGAAGAAAAGAGTAGAGGAGCAAGCTTTTGATAAGCAGAGTGAAACATCTGGTGAAATGATGTCGATTCTGGGAGCCAGCTTTCATAATGGATGATTCGAACATACGGGATGAAGGAGGTGCTTATTGATGTAACGTGTGAGATGAACGAATTACTCATACCTCTGAAGAAGAGCTGTGCCAAAACGTTGGGCTTTGCAATAAAGTTTTTCATTAAGAACCCGTAATGGCAT